TCAGCTGGTGCTGCTTATGTCAGTTGCCTTGGAAAAATGAATATATATATATATATATATATATATATATATATATATTGAAGACAGGGATTTTAAGAGGAAAAAAATTCCTATGCCATATGTGAATTACTGTAAGCCAAAATTAAGAGATACCACATAGAATAGATATGCTAGACCTTTGTAGGGAAGTAGTGGGTAATAATCCTCTGTCCTCATCTGCAGTTTGTTGACAAACCATCAACCTCTGCCTACCCAATTCTTCAACTGGTACCACTCCAGGATTTGAAGAATAAAACCATAAATTACATTCCAGGCCCAAGGTTTCAAATAACTCTGTGTAACTATACATACCACTAAACTGAGAGCAAATCACATTAAGTAACAGAGAAAAGGAAATTTGCTCTAGAAAAAAACATATTTCTGAAAATAGCTCTGATGATGGAATTATTATTATTAATCCAAAGCCAGTTTTCCATCTATGCCAGCCATAAAAGTTTGCATTCATTGTTCAGTCAATTCGTGTTCTGGGGGCAGAAACACACAGAATAGTTTCAGGGATGCTAAAGTGGAAGTTTTTTTAATTAACGTGTAAAAGGATGGGTCAGAGCTACTTTTCCTTTAAAGAAAGGATTTGGAAAGCTACTCAAGGCATGTACAGACATCTGTGTTGTAATTCTGTTAGAATATTCATGACTGGGAGAGACATGGTAACAAGGTCAGCCAATGAATAAGCATAGCAACTAAGTCTGCCAAAGGGGGCTTAAACAGATCTGAGTCTGTGCTGAGAATCTAATCTGAAACTACTCTGTCTGCTCTGAACTCTGAGACGAAACTAACTGTTCTCTCCTGCTTGTAACTTCCACCACGTTGAAAAAATCTACTATTGGTACTGCACATTTATTCATCTGTTATTATGTATATAAAGAAGTTAATGAATCCAACTGAATCAGTTATCTGTGTGTGCTTTCTGGATTAGATTTTTCTGCAACAAACTCTACATTACCTTCATGGAATCTGAATACAGGATATATTCTCGTAAAACAGGCAGGAAGTCTTCAGTCATGTCTTCGCTCAATTCCTCAAGAGCTGTGCAACAGTTTCCAATGCAGGCTGATACTCCTTCAAGAGGTTCAGACACCTCTGTCTCTAGTGCACTCCAGGTTGAATAAACGGGACCATATTCTCGTAGTTCCACTAAATATTCTGCAGCAGATAAAAAATTAGGGACAGAAAATTCTGTGTTTCAAGATTATGAGCCCCTTTTTTTAAAAAAAAAATTCGAATCCAATTTTGAGTCAAAATATTCATATTTGGCAAGGCACGAGGCAAATAAGAAACTATTTACCCTTGGGAAAACTATGAAGAACAGTATTGTAAGAAGCAAAATAAGGAGAAGAGATATATAAGAATTTAGTGATTTTAAAAACATGCCCAACATTTCCAAAATCTTTTTGCAGAGCTACTTCTGCAGCATAACAAATCTACATCCAAAAGACGAGGAATGCATGCATCTTTCACAATTTGTTTCTTGAAAACAAAAATAACAAAATGGGAGTTACAAGGGAAGCTATAAGTCCTACTTACCCACTTCCTCTTTGATTATCCGCTGTGCTATTCTATCAATAGTTCCTAGCTTCAGAGAAAATGTATCTAGATATTCACCCAGGGCAGCAAACTCCAACGGTCGACTTCTTAATTTATAGCTTCCTGTGACATATTTTACCGATTCTCCCATCTTGGTAAGCAAAGCCATTCCTTGTTTTTTGTAAGCATTAAGATCCTGGTATCAATAGAATTATTAATACATTTACAGCTTTGCTGAAACTATTCACTCTCATACAACTGTCTGAGCAAGAAACAGTCACATTCATACCACTGAATTTGTTATAGTTAAATTGTGGACTATATGAGTGCTTTTAAAAAGTAGAAAATCCTTAGCAATATCTTAGTGACTATTTTAAAGCAATGAAGACATCAAAGTGAAGTAACTGTTTGAAGAAAAAAAGGATGTTCTTGGCTACTGAAAAAATTCAGCTGGGTTTATTTTATTGTTCTAAATACTACAAGCTGTACACTAAAAGACAATACTCAACACCTACCAGAATCTAAAGCTAGCATTTAACAAAAGAGTTGGCTAATGAATTAAAGAGACATATATTTATGCTGCTGCAAGAAAATGTTCTTAGTCTAAGGGCTTGCACCTCTAATTACAAGCTTTGAAAAGCAGAAAATCTGTGTGGATTCAATGCACTTACTTTGGCTGTAAGGAATACATGAAAATGTTCATTGAAAGAAAGTACTGGATGATCCGCAATCCTTTTTAAGAATTTATCCAAGGCCTTTCTCCTTGTCTCAACAAATTCTTCTGAAAAACGGTCAACCACACCTTTAACTACAAATTTTTCTGGAAGAGGCTGAGGGAGGGAGGAAGAAAGTTACAGGAAGCAAGATTCATACGTATGTATGTCTGTGTGTGTGTGTGTGTGTACAGTACTTTTTGCATTAATATCTAGATAACTGTGTGGGAGAATTAAAATCTATCTTGGAACCTGACATATCTCCTTGATGTTCAGGTTACACCTGTTCTGTAGCAGAATGAGTTTTTTCCTTGGTTCCCACCCAGTAAGAGTTACAGGCTTTGTATTTTCTTTGGATTTTTCTGACTTTAGAATCTCAGGCCAGTTAACCATGCAATACTACCTCCCCCGCCCCAACCTGCCTTGTCCTTCTGCTTTATCTCAAAGACATCTGGGTTGTTTTAAGTACACTTTGTTCCCTGCAGAGCTGTAAGAGAAGCTGCGACTCAGTCATCGCAGCCTGTGTTAGTTGCCAGCTTATCATTGCAATCTCCAAGTTAACAGTAAAATATAGTTAAGACTGCAGTGTTAACATCATAAGATCACATTAACTGCAAATTACCTTCCATTTCTGAATATTAATATTTATATTTATGGGGACAACAATGTTGCCACTCTCCAAACATGCATTTTAAATCTCACTTAGTAGTGGCAAAGGCATGAAGTAGAAGATGAATTAAAGTGCAGGTTAAAAATCTCAAAGATCCCAGCAGATAAAGTTAATTTAATAGACATAGTTATCCAGTAACCCACTTTATAAAAAAGGGAGTGCTATTAGATAACATGATTTGAAAGTGAGCATGTAAAATGGAATAGTACATCAACAACAAGCAAAGACGGTTTCCAGTCCAAGAAACTTTTGTTATTTATTCATAAAAATATGCAGCTTCATGAAATCCAATGAGACTCTCAAATTTAAATCTAAATCAATATTAGGAAACTATAAATCAAATTTTATAAAATTAAAACTTTGAATCATAATCTCAAGGTAACTTAGTTCAACAGAAAATTGTTCAGCGCAGAATTAACATCTTGATATATCCTGAATCCATTTTTCCCTCCATTCAAATTGTGTCCAATTCTCAGAGACTCCCTGGACAAATAATGGGAAGGATTTTTTGTTTGTTTGTTTTGCACTTGTGTCAGAAGCACCGAGGCGATTCCTGAAAGGATTAGCCAGTGACATCACCGTTGTATGGGGGGACGCCCAGTTGGGGGCTCCTTTCATGTCCCCGGCAGGAGCTGCAATAAAGGACGAGAGCTCAACCTCACTTCACGGCAGCTCTTGGGTCTCAAACGTGGGCTTGCTAAACTCCTGTCCAGCATTCCAACCACTCAAGCCATTGTGGATCTATAATGGGTGGAATGGGACTTTTCGGCTCCTCCTCTTGGCTGCACCTGCTTCTCCACCAGGGTTCTCCTTCTGGGGATTCACCTCTAGCTTTTCTCTTTGGCTGACATGCCCCCAAGCATTCGCCCTGGCCAGTGGGCCACAGCCCCTCTGTCCTAGACCCCTAATGGGAGATGGACACTGTTTAAAAAGGAATAGTGTGCTAGTGGCTCTGTCTTAGTACTTACAGGAATGAGATGAGTTGGCTGAGATTCCTCCAGTTTATTCCTAAGCCAATCAAAATCCTGGTATCTTCGGCGCATTGAATACTCTGGCAAGTCAAACTCAGCTCGAGTGGTCTGGAATGAAAGAATAAACATTGAAAGTGGTAAGAGAACAAGAAAGTCTAATGTATGAAAACTAATGTTTCACATTTCTTAAATAAAACACATTCTCTCTGAATGCTGCAAAATTCTTGTTTAATTCCATTTGCAAACCATGCAGCATTTCACAAGCTGAGTCACTCAAGCAACAGAAGTAAATTAAACAAATTATGAATTTTCCCTTCTTAGGCAACTTACAAAGATACAAGGTTCTGAAATACTGTTTTATGGTCCTATTATTATATGCACAAAAGACAGAAGAAAAAGGTCTTTCTTTCTATAACAAATCCAAAATCAAATTGTTGTCTCTTCCATAGATTCACAATTCACAAATGTCTTTTTTGAGTTAAGCTCAACTCCTGGGGACTACACAAACATACTGATGCTGTTTACTTGGATATGATACAAATGTGTCTTTTTCCAGGATAGTGTTTTGTTTTACTTTTCATATAACCATAGTGAGAAAGGGTCAAGATTTTCTGTCTTATTTGAAATTGGGTGGGCTGTAGAAATCTTTCCATTATTAAAGTTCAAAACATGCAACTAACACCAATTAGAAATGAAAAATATTTTAGATCTTAACCAAGTAAAGGAAACAAAATGTACTGCAAGAGGCTCTTGCATGCTTCCAATATGCACATTCTTTTACATTCTTCTACATGAAGAATGCAATCAACTCTGACTTGACAATTTGATAAATATTCTTAGGACAAGAGGAAACAAACTTTGAGAATGCACGTGAATCCCAATGCTACTTTGCATTTCAAGGAAACTGAAATAAGAGTTGTTTTCAATAAAAGCAATATTTCTGAAAAGAGCACCTTAACTTGTGATACCTTAGTTGTGACTCGGTAAGTGATGTAAGTCTCCATCGTACAGATATGCTTTTTGGGATCATCAACGGTGACAAAGAGGTCCCTCATTTCCCCATCCAAGTCATCATCCAGTTGTAGTCTATTGAGAAGCGAGGAGGAAGAGGCGGGACTAGAAGTATCTGCAGGAGTACCATTGGGCAAACTGAGATCCTGGAGGAAGACACAACGATCAGGTGTGGGAAAAAGGGACAAAAACCAGTTCCTGAAGTTCATCCAGAGAGATGAATCAGCAGAAAGAGCCACACATTGAATACTAAATCAAATCAAATCAAACCTTTGTCAATGCACAACATGTGTTCAATGAAATTGAATGAGCCTCCCTTGGTGCATCCCCCCCCCCGAAACAAAAAAATACATCTCAATAACTCAATAAATGAAAGAAACAGAATCCCTAAACCCAAATAAGTAATAACTAACACACATTCCCATATACCTATATGTACGTAACATTATATTACATCAGTATGAACATGTTGCATATTGTGCTGGCCCTGTAAGTCTATTATATTAAACCTACTTGTGATGTTATGTTGCATTCAGAAGTCTGACAGCCCACGGATAAAAGCTATTTTTCAGCCTATTCATTCAGCTGGCTATGCTTCTATATCTCCTGCCCAATGGTAGGAGAGTAAAGAAATGCTGACCAGGGTGTGAATCATCCCTGAAGATTATCCTCACTCTGTTGAGGCAGTGACTCTTGGCGATTTTGTCCAGTGGTGTCAGGGGACAGCCCATAATTTTTTGTGCTGTGCTCATCACTCTCTGTAATGCCTTTCTGTCTGTGGCTGTCAAACCAGCATACCATACCATAACACAATAATGGATATTCCATTGTAGAGAATATTACTATAATCTGATAAAAATATTTAGCATTTATACAGATTTTATATAGAGCTTCACGTGTTCAGTGCTTTATGTTATCTTGTGATCTTATCTCTGTTGTAATGTAGGCAAACATTATCTTTACTAGAAGCAGGATAAGACTGAAGATCCTGCTCCAATCCACTGTTCCCTCTTGCTAATGTAAAAAAGTTATCTTTCAAATCTTACTAAATGATTATTTGCTAGTTTCCTCCATTCTGTTCTGTCAGATAACGGTAAAGGTTCTCCTCACACATATGTGCTAGTCGTTCCCGACTCTAGGAGGCGGTGCTCATCTCCGTTTCAAAGCCGAAGAGCCAGTGCTGTCCGAAGATGTCTCTGTGGTCATGTGGCTGGCATGACTAAACACTAAAGGCGCACAGAACGTTGTTAACCTTCCCACCAAAGGTGGTCCCTATTTTTCTACTTGCATTTTTACATGCTTTCAAACTGCTAGATTGGCAGAAGCTGGGACAAGTAATGGGAGTTCACACCATTACGCAGCATTAGGGATTCAAACCGCCGACCTTTCTGATTGACAAGCTGAGTGTCTTGGCCACTGAGCAATTATGTCCCTTATGTATCTGTCAGATACATATGTGCTTATTTAGATTTTGTTTCTCTAGTCTTTAGATTACTAATGCCAATATTTCCCTAATAACTTTAGTGAAATGGACTACAGCCAAAACCTTCAGCTAAGGAATTCCCTTCTAAGCCAATTGGTTTTACCTCCTCCAATTCCTCCAGAAGAAGTTGGAAGGGCTCTTTCTGCAACTGTCTCTGCAAAAGACAATGCTTTCTATATTCATGATTGCCTTCTGGCTAAGGATTCTTTTTCTTGCTGCTTCCAGCATTTGGCCATCCTCCTTATGCCCAGTTCTACGCCTCTGGAAACTCTGAGATTGGTAAATCAATACCACTGGCATGAGGAAGGAATATTTACAATCTTCTGCAGGGATATGTAAAATCCACAAGTTCTAGAAAAGAATTTTTCCATAGAGCTCTGGAATGTTTCATTCCCCTTCCAGACCATGCTGAGCCTCCTTTGGATACCATTTTAAAGGCACCTCGATGGCTTCCAAAAATTAATCCTTTTAAGTCTGAACCATGCCCACAACAGCATGGTGTGGAAGAGGTGTGGCATGGTCCAATGAGGAAATGGAATGTTCTATTCTCAAAACGTACGAGCTTTTTACCACCATGGTCTTTGATTCTCTTTATTTTTCTTCCGACAATTTAAAAATGATCCTTTCATTTCAGAAAGCACTGTCTGTACATAAAGGTAAAATAAGTGATGCTTAACTCCTGAGATTTTAATGAACTCAAACACGTAGCTTTCCTGGCAGTGATAAATTAGTGGTTTGCCACTGTTTTCTTCTGTGATTTTTTTTTCCACTTCCCAGTTTAGCCCACAGCCCTGGCATTTTTAAAAGAACCAGGGGAGTTCTTAATTCATAACATTTGGTCGTGATGTTTTGTTTTGTTTTTCCATTTCCCGGTGCAAATTGCAGAATTGCATACAAATTAAAAATAGTTTAAAATAAAAAGCAGAGACAATTCTTCAATTTCAGTTGCCCCTTTATCAAGGAAATAAATTGAAAGTAAATCTTACTCATCAGAGATTACATGTTACTGTCAATTTTGCATAATTGTCAGTTTTTAAAACAACAGAGGCTCATGGGAGCAGATGAGATAAAGCAAACAAATGGCCGAAAATTTTCTAGTCTGCTTATATTACAAAGATGAAATCCAGATACTGGAGTACATATAAAGTATGTCCTAAATCAGTGATGGCTAACTCTTTTGTCCTCATGTGCCGAAATTGCGTGTGCCCACACCCACAATGCAATGTGCCCCGCTCCCTTGTGTATGCGCATGACACCCTGTGCTGCCCCTGTGCACCCCCCCAGCCCATTTTGGGCATAGCAGGCCTCCCTGAAGCCTCCTGAAACAAAAAATGAGGCATGCGGGGGGGGGGCACCGCACCCCCTATTGCTCCCTCCGCCCTCATGCATGCACGCATGACCGCCTGCCTCCCTGTATATGCCTCTCACAGGCACGGCAGAGACCCAAAAATCAGTTGGCCAGCGAGGCACACATGCATGCGTGGTAGAGCCGAGTTGGGCGACGGCTCACATGACCGCAGAGAGGGCTTATATTGAGTTCAAATTATATTGAACTCACTCTCCAAATGTTACTGTATAGAATAGTTCCATTAACTGGCTTAGAAGAATTTCAGGATCTGCAGAATGACAGAAGCTAAAGATGTGTTCAAGACAAAAATAGCTACCCATGAATTAAGATGAGGGAAAGGGTTCCTTGTGAATTAGAAGAAATACATGAAAATACTGCCCCAAGAGAACTAAAGCTTTTAAAGGTGCTATGAGATTAAGATTAAGGTTAAGATTTAGTTTATTTGTATGCCGCCCTTCTCCGGGAGGGACTCAGAGAGGCGAACAACTCAAAGGGGAAAAAAGGGAACATAAAACACAATACACGTGATTAAAATAAACAAGAATCATACAACCATACAGGTCGAGAGGGGAGGGGAACTCATCAACCCCAGGCCTGCCGGCATAGCCAGGTTTTCACGGCTTTCTGGAAGGCCTGGACAGAGGT